GCAGGAATGACAGTGTGTACGTATTCCTCTATCACGCCAAACCTCTACCGGGTCCCAGTGCCAAAAGACTCCTGAATCAGCTGAATCTCCTCTTCATCTCCCGTGAATTCTGCGCAGAGTGTATGGGAGCACAGGAGGTAGGATAAGGATATGCCGTGACAGTTACCTGTTCCGGTAATCGCTGGCATGTTGAAAATCTCTGTCCCGGGCTGCCCAACATCTGGAGGAAGACAAAGAAGTCCTTCAGTATGAAAAGCAGCATGCAGCAGTGAACTTCAGGGGGAGCTTTTCATTTCATTCAGAGGGACTTCCCTTCCTGAACCCAAAAGGATGTCAGTATATGTGACATGAGGCTGGAGGTCCACATTTAATTACACAGAATAACAAAACCTCGGGCCAGGCTTGAGTGAAGGGTGGATAAGATGAGGAATGATGCTTTAGGACTAACAATCCATCCTCCCTATTTTTATAGCAAGGCTTTCTTGGGAAACACAGCTCTGAAATCAGGGGCCTCCAAGACCTGACCGGTCCACTTGAAAGCAGATGTTCTCCCACTGTGGTCCAAAAACCTTTAAGGGCCTTTCCAGATGGCAAGTAGTAGAGACTTGGGAAATTTGATACCTTGAGAGAATGCATCTTACCAAGTGGGCCAGGGACTCAGAGCATCAACCACAGGCTGAATATAAACCCTTTGACAATGCTGCAGACCTCCACACAGCCCTGCTGATGCCCTCAGCTCCTTCCCCCACTCCAGCATCATGCCTCTGGGGAGTTAAGCTGGGGTAACAAAGCCTCTGCCCTGCCTGTGGAGTCACCAAGGTCTCGAGTTCTCATTTCCCTCGAACAGCCTTTTTGTCCACAGATGCAGCGGTGGGGGCGGGGAGGGGACTCTGAGTCAATATTTTCCCTCTTAGCCGAGCTGTTTGGCTTGGGTATCACTTTCCTTGGAATAACAGCCTGTCTCATCAAACAGAAGGCGTTTCCTATTTCTGTCTATTTTCCCCTGATAAGGAAAGGAGCGGAAGGTCATGGAGTGCAGTTACACATCCCTGCAGGGCCATAACAATACAGTTGGATCATGGCAACGTCTTACATGGGGCGAGACAGCTCAGCCCCTCTTATCCATTGCAGCTGCTGTAAGATGGATTCAAATTGAATTAGTATCGACTGTACAATGCTGGGGCTAAATTAAATTATGATCCTATCTACTCTATTAGTGCTTAATGAAGGCAGGGGATGAATTTCTAATACCAGTCAGCCCGGCTGCTTTTTCAGGGCTGTACCAATATTGATGCAGGGATTAAAGTCGCCTTCTGACAGAGGCATCTTCAGGAAGCAGAACCCTTCCCGCTTGGATGCTCATTAAAATGTCAATTGCTCTTAAGCCTCCTCTGTTCTCTGCTTGTTATTCTGTGCGGGTGAACGGGGCAGGATTGACAGCTGGGGAAGACAGAGGCCCAACTGGCTGGAGCACAAGCTTCTTCCAGTTGCTACCTGCTCCTGGGCCCCAACTGGCTTTGGGGAAGAGGTTTGGGGGGAC